AAGAAAGAATAATAACAAGATTGGTTTCTCACTAATCTTAGGTAAAGTGCTAGTATATGATTGTAATTTCTTTACAGTGCTAACTTAATTGGGATTGTGAAGGTTTTTTTTTTTCTTAAACCAGGGATTGTGAAGGTCAAAAGAATATATGATTCGCACGTTTCATTTTTTAATCATTGGCACAATTTTATGTGATGAAGTTGGAAAACACACGCAAGAAAAGTATCCAGTAGGGACAACTATAAAAGCAAATTAAGGAATTAGAATGTAGATAAACTAAAGTGGACGTAATCATGGTACTAAATTAAAGGTTAAAAATTAAATTGGAACCACATATTAAATTTTGTATTGGTTGACATTTGTGAAGAAAGAATAATAACAAGATTGGTTTCTCACTAATCTTAGGTAAAGTGCTAGTATATGATTGTAATTTCTTTACAGTGTTAACTTAATTGGGATTGTGAAGGTTTTTTTTTTCTTAAACCAGGGATTGTGAAGGTTAGCTATGATACTCTTTGTATTTCTTTGCTTTGTTGTTGTAGTTTTGTATGTATAGTGCCTTTTTCATTAATAAAGATTTTGGTTTGTTGATAAAAAATCAAATAATAAAAAGAATTCAGAAATTAAGAAGTATATACATATATTTTTGGAGCTACACTTCCTTTCAGTACATGATTTCAATTGGAGAGTGTTTTTCGGATCCGTGAGACTCACAATAGGTCCCGCTATGGTAATCTAAACTATTCATTTTGTTGGTTTCTTTTTGTATATCATCCACACAAATTAAATCAATACAATATCATAACGTATTCAATTTATTATATTTAATTCTAAAAAAATGAACGACAAGTGTGTTTTTAAAAATAGATTATTTATTTTTTTAGTAATAAACATGATAAATTAAATAAATTATGATTATCAGATCGATCTAATTTTTTATATAAATAATCTACACAAATGAGCTTAGAAAATAAATTATTTAGATCATTGAAAGAGATCCAAAATAAGCCCCCAGAGCCGAAACATTACCCTCCGAGCCAGATCATGTTCTGGATGGAAACCCAATACTTTTTTTCTTCTTCTTCTTCTTCTCCTTCTTCTTCTTCTTCTTCTTCTTTTATTATTATTATTATTATTATTATTATTATTCTCTTTTCTCATTGATTTTCAAATGTGACATTTAAACAAAATGTTAATACGTAAACAGTAATAATATAAATTCAGAGTTAATTATTTATAAATTATTTAAAAGTATAATCTTTTGAGTCAAATTTATTTTAGGGCAAATTACACTAATGGTTCCCATAGTTTGGGACTTATGTCACTTTGGTCCCTGACTTTTCAATTGTGACACATTTGATCCAGAATTTTGAATCTTATACCAAATAAGGATAATTGAATATACTATTGCTTAATATCAAGGATAAAATCGTCAATTTGATAAAATATAAACTAATTTGATAAAAACAAATGTCAAAAAAATATTTTTGAATATTTAAAAATTATTTCTACCACTAAAGATAAAATTATGTAAAATTGATAAATCTTTTAGATATTATATATTTATTTATTTGACTAATTAAATAGCCTTTGATATGACCGCGTGGAGAAGAAAGATTCATGTAGCCGACCCCATTTGATGGGACTTAAGGATTGGTTTGGTTGGCTTGGATATCAAATTAATTTTTACTACGTGTTTGGATGATGATCATGTAATGGGTAGATTTTATTTTCATTAAATTAATTTCTATTTTTTCAAAAGTCAAATATGACGACAACTTTAATATGATTATTAAACCAATCCATTAAATCAAAATTCCAAAACTAAAAATATTTCATATATTAAATATATTGATTACACATTATAATCTTAACAACCACCCATTACATAGTTATCATTCAAATACATAATAAAAATTAATTTTGTAAAATAAATAAATAAATAATGTGTAAAAAATTTATCAATTTTACATGATTTTATCTTTGATAGGTAGAAATAATTTTTAAAAATTTGAATTTTTTTTGACATTTATTTTTGTCAAATTAGTTTATATTTTATCAAATTGACAATTTTACCTTTGAAATTAAGCAATGCTATCTTCAATTATCCTTATTTGGAACAAGACTCGAAATTTAGAGTCAAATGTGTCACAATTGAAAAGTTAAGGACCAAACTAATACGAATTCCAAACTATAAGAACTGTTAGTGTAATTCGTCCTTTATTCTATGTATAGATTTTATACTATACAAATTTAACCTTAACCACACACTTTCATTCAGGGTAACTTTGAGGTGGTTAAGTAGAATTCATAGAATTATTCATGCCATAAAAATCAACCTCTTGCGTTGCACTATATTTTTTTTGAGCAGCAAACAGAGATATATTTTATTAAAAACAATATTTTTTTAAAGAGCAAAAAAATAACTTTATTGATGCAAGAATCAAGTACAAAGTACAAAGCAAATTACATTAATAAAAAAAAAGAGAAGTGCAAAAAGTATCACAATGAGCTAAATCATCCCAACTAGGTTGCCTTTAAAACAATATAAGTACACAAGTTTGGAAAGAATTTGCATCATTGTCCAAACTAGTCATCTCAACTAGGTAAACACCCATAACAAGACTAATCATGTGCATTTCCAAAGCCCAAAAGAGAGTTAGAGAGTTTCCAACTCCAACCCCTCAAAACCTCAATGACAATACAACATTACAACCGCCTACCCAAACAAAATCTAATTTGCACCAGGTTATACATAGAATCTATAAACAAAAAACGGGCTTCATTTTTTTTTTTTTTTTTTGAAACAGCAAAAAGAAACCTTTATTGATGAACAAACCATACAAGATGAGATTACATCAAAAAAAAGGAGAGGAAGGGGTTTGGAGAGGATCCAAACCCAAACAGGCAAAAGAAAAAAAATATATAGAATAGGCATAATGCAAACAAGGACAAGAACTCAGCTCACACACAAACAGAACAATTCCAAGGGCAGCAGCAAGTGATTCAGCAGACCATATCAGATGCAGATGCAGACCAACAACTTGTAACCAAGAGTAGATCACAGGCAGATGTAGACCAACAACCACCAGAATCCCAGAACAAAGCCTGACGGAAGATGCAGACCAACCCCATCTAGATATTGTATTGAAAAAAACCTGAAACACAAAATAGCAGCCCAGAACAATATATGAATAGGCGTCAAGGTTGCCTCAAGAGAGCCTAACAGCAGTCCAGATCAAATTTACTCCCAGAACAATATTTGATATGCCTCAAATTGTTCAGAAAGTCCCAGAAGAAAGCATAGAACACCATAACAGAAAGTCCCAAAAGAAAACATAGAACACCATACACCATACAAGCAGCCCTGAACATAACAACCCAGCAAAGAATAGAAAACCATCCAACCCTACATAATACAAATGTACTACCCCAACTCTAGCCCAAAACAGTAGCCCAAAACAGATCTGCTCAAAACAGAAAAGCATCAATATCAGTAGCCCAAAACAGATATGCTCCCCAAACTCAATCTTATTTGCCTTAGATTGGTTAAAAAGTCTTGTACAGAGAAATGAAAATCATTGAATCTATGTTTGAGCCACAGTGCAACTCTAATTTTAATAAACTCACATAGGTCCACTAATTGAGGCGTAGCAGATTCGAAAATGCACTCATTCCTAAGCTTCCACAGAGACCATAGAACAGCCAAGGGAATGACCTTCCATATCCATTTTTCTTTCCTGTTTAAATTCACACAATCCCACCAGTGAAGTATACCATCGACTGAACCTGGAAGAGCCCCCTGCAACTCCCACCAATCCATCATAGCAGCCTAAACCTTCCATGCAAAATAACAATGCAGCAAGACATGAATGGATGATTCAGGCTCAGCTTTACAGAAAACACACAGAGCAGGAACATTAGCTTGAATCACTCCAATTTTCTGTAGAAATTCAGCTGACTCAACTCAGTTTTTCCATGCCAACCAATAGAAAAATTGAACCTTAGGAGGGGCAAATGAGTTCCAAACAAACTTACAAGAAATGAGAGAGGGACTAAGGGAGTCAATTTCAATTTTATAAACAGAGGAGATAGAGAATAGGCCAGATCCTTCAGCCAACCAGACTATTTTGTCCTCCAGAACAGAACACGGATCAGGTGTAGAAACCAGGAGTAGGTTGAGCCTACAAACTTCCCTCTCTTTCCACTCATACAACCTTCTTCTGAATTGAAAGTTCCAAGCCCCTGAATGTACCCTCCTGTCACACATTGATCTCAAGGTTTCCTCCTTCTCCAAAACCAATCTGTAAAGAATTGGAAATTCATCTTTCAAGCAAGAATTGCTGCACAATGTGTTATGCTCCAAAATAGCCTCACCAACATGGCCTTAACTTCCATTTTTGAATCAAGTTCTACTGAGCAACGATGGATTTCCCAAATCAGCAAAATCATTAAGAAAGAAGTCAATATTGAGATCGATATTCTTGTTTCGATCTTTCGTGTGCCTACAACTCTAACTGTTTCCAAGCCAGAAGCATACATCCCTCAACTCATAGGCTTGGGGCCTTATCACCATTTTCGCTCCGAGCTCTATGAGATGGAGCAATACAAGCTTGCTGCATCAACTAGGGTTCAAAAGCAATTCCAAAGTCTTAAATTCAAACAACTTGTTGACAAGCTTAACGAACTTGAATACGAAGTTCGTGCGTGTTACCACAAGTACTTGGACATCGATGGCGAAACCATATGTTGGATTATGTCCATTGATGGTTTGTTCTTGCTCGATTTTCTTCATAGCTATGTCAACAAGAATGATAGTCTTTCGTCATCGTCATCTACAACGGCTAGTGGATGCAGCGGGGAAAAAATTTGCTCATGATGCAATCCTTGGCGACATGATGATGCTTGAAAACCAAATTCCAATCTTTCTTCTAAATAAGATCTTGTGCATCCAATGTTCATTGTCGGACATTTGTAACGATTTGTTACCTTCAATATTGATGGGTTTTTGTAAAATTGTTTCTCGATTGAAACTTAAGGAAGATGTTCCTTTCTCTCAAGTTTTTGAGCATGCACATTTGTTGGACCTTTTGTACCACTTGATTGTGCCCAAGATAGAGGGATCCCACGAAGCAATAATAACCGACATATATCAAGAAAAGGGAGGTGCAAGCTTTGGTAGTAATTCTAGTCAAGTGTTTGCTAATCTTTGGAGCTTGTTATCAAGTCTAAATGTTGGTTTGGTGAGTAAATTTACAAGACCAATTAAGATGATATTGGCTTTCCCTTGGAAGATTGTTGCTAGTCTACCTGGGATGTCCAACTTAGCATCAAAGAACAAAGAAGACATCAAATCTGAAAATGAAGTTCCAAGTGATGAGGAAAAGAAAAAAATTCCAATAGTAGAGGAGATCATGATTCATTCGGTGTCACACCTATGTGACTTTGGAGTTGAATTTTGTCCTACTATTGGCAACATCACTACCATCAAGTTTGACGAGAAGTCTAAGATATTTTACCTTCCTGTCATTACTTTGAATATGAACTCTGAAGTGATCATAAGAAACTTGGTGGCATATGAAGCGTCAATTGTATCAGAGTCCCTTGTTTTCACTCGATACATAGAACTAATGAGTGGGATCATAGATACTGTCAATGATGCAAAGTTGTTGAGGGAAAAGAAAATCATCGTAAACAGCCTAAAAAGTGAAGCTGATGTCGCGAAACTCTTTAATGGGGTGAGTAAATCCATTCGACTCACAAACGTGTCTTATATTGATAAGACGATTGAAGATGTCAATAAGTACTTCTATAGTACATGGAGGGTTCATGTATACAAGAGCATGAAAAGGTATGTGTATGGTTCTTGGAAGATTCTTACAATTCTAGCAGCTATCTTGCTCACCTTGTTAATGTTTCTACAGTCATTTTGCGCAGTTTACAGTTGTCCTCATCTTTTCCACACGAGTAGTTAAGTGTGGCCAATCTTTGGGGTTTGCAAGTTGTCCTTCCATTGAGTTTCGATTTATAATGTTTATTTCTTTTTATTTTTTTTATTTCTTTTCTTTTTTGTATTGTGTTGTGTGTGTTCTTATTATGACTAATGAGTTTGTGTTCTTGTTGTGTCTTGTGAGTTTGTTTATATTCGTGTTGTCATTGTAACCAAATAATAGTCCTTAATGTAATGTAATGACTTATTATTTATCATTGCTCCATCATTCCATGTACCTGTGAATTAAACCATTGTTAATTTGTGTTTCTTTCTTTCTTCTTCTTCTTCTTCTTTTATTTTTATTTTAAATTTTTTTTATGCCTTTTTTTTAAAATTATTATTATTATTATTTTTTTGGTGGCGTATGTTTTTGGATGAAGACAAGAGCCGGGCCATAGAAACCAATAACACAGTTGAAACCTTTACTCCAAGGGATAGAATCATCAATAGAAATATTGATATAATTAATTTGAGACTTGCCCAAACTTGTGGTTAGTGATTACTGGATTCGAACATCAAAGATTTACTTCTTTTTTTAGTGGCAATGGAACTAAGTTTTTGGCTTCTCATAACATCAACAATAGAGCTACCCAACTAGAAATAATCAAAACAAAAATTCATACATAATTTGTATACATAATGGTTTGACTAATTATATACATTTCACTTCAAAATAAAATACTATTAAAAATAAATTTATTTACGATAATGATATTGCCACATCATTTTTGTTAAGTTTGTGTATGAATTTTATATATGTTTAGAATATTTTCTTTTTTAATTTTATAATATCAAAACTATCTCTTCAGACATTACAAATAAAATAAAATAAAATAACATTTATAAAATATTAGTTTCGTAATATAACATTAAACAAATTCTTTTAAATAATTTTTTTCTATAATTTAACAAAACAAGATAATAAATAATCAATATTACTTTTCTTTCTTATACTTTTTTCTTCAATTTATTTAATTCCCCCATTCCCCCCTCCCTCTTAGCTCATGTAATATTTTTGTTCTTCTTTCTCCTGAATTTCCAAACATATTGATAATAATTGCTCACCACCACTAATCAGCAATCCGATTCGTACAGAATATGAATATTAGAATATATGAATATGGAATTAATCTTCCAAGGCAGACTTGGAAATTCTTCCTTACCTTGTGTTTTGCTAATGAATTTTGGTAGAAATTTATAAATAAAAAAAAAGAAAAAAAATATGAAATGTAACTATATTTCACTTACCTTTCTCATTTCTTTTTTTAAATTCTTATCAAAATCCATAAATCAAATATGACCTTATGCGATTCTTACTCTGGTGTTGTGAGTTGCATTTGGGCTAGTCCTAACTTTGTTTGAGTCCAAGGCAAAATTTAAGAAGTAGGATTTTCATATATATATATACATATATATTTGAGTTAATTATACTTTTAATTCTGGTAATTTCATTAAATTTCATTCTAGTCTCTAAAGTTTTAAATTGAACAATTTAATTCCTACACTTTAACTTTGGTTTTAATTTAGTCATTTCATCCAAAATTTTATTTATTTTGTTTCTACATTTTTCTTTTTTTTATCAGAAAATAAAAGGAAACTTTATTGATGAGATGATCAAAAACAAGAAACAATATACATCAATAAAGGAGGAAAGTGCAAAAAGCTTCATAGCTAACACTCCACAATCCCAACTAGGTTGGCACCAAGGAGGAAGCACAATCACCTACTACCACTAAACCCACAGATTGGCGAGAAACCAATCCAAAACATAGAAACAAAACGAAAAATAGAAATAAAAACCACCCAACCATACAGCCTTCCAAATCTACCAACTCTACCCCCAACAAACTCCAGCAATTTATAGCCCAAAACTACAAAAATCTCCTAGCAACACTAAGAAATTAACACTCAAGGTAGCCACAAACTGCACCAGGAATTTCCCTATGCACTCTATCAGATGAGCAACATAAAAAGCAACCTTCCACCAGCAGCAGACAACAGTATACAACAGCATACCAAACCAAAACCATGTCTTCAATACAGCCGTTGTATGCTGCGATAGGACAGTAGCTATATGCCTTACACCAGATCAGCAAAACTGAACAGAACTCCATCACAGATGATCACAAAAACACAGACAGATACTCTCCTAGCAACACTAAGTAATTAACACCCAAGGTAGCCACAAAACTTCCCCTTGCTGCCCTATGCACTTTATCAGATGAGCAACATAAAATGTACCCAAAACCATATCTTCTACATCTGCAGACCAAAACCAAAAACCATGTCTTATGTAGTCATACAGCAGATGTTGTATGCTGTCATAGCACATCAGCAAACAACATCAGCAAACAACATCAGCATACCATAACCACAGCAGCATATAACCATGACTTCTACAATAGCAGACCAAAGCCAAAACCAAAACCATAGGACAACAGCATACAATAGCAGCATACCAGAACAACAGCAGCAATATGCCTTATACTAGATCTTAGCAAAACAGAACAGAACTTCAACACAGATGATCACAAAAACACAGACAGCTACTGTCCAAAAGCCTCAACCTGAATTCATGTAACCAGCAACAGAACATCAAAAACATTAACACCAGCAACAGAACAGCAGGATCAACAGTAAGCCTCAACCAGTCTTTATGCAACCAACAACAGAATATCAACACCAGCAACAGAACAGCAGCACCAGAACAGAATAGAACTCATACCGGAACAGTGGCAGCAGTAAAATAGAGCAACGAAATAATCACAGCAACAACAACACTACCAGCTGAACATTAAATACACAACCTTATTTGATTTGAATTGGAGACAAAATCTTGGATGGAATATAAATTACCATAAGAATGGTTTTTCAACCAAACTGCAATTCTAACCTTAATAAGCTCAATGATCTTCAAGAAGTTGAGTTGGGCACTATTGAAAACACAATCATTCCCGAGCTTCCAAATTGACCAAACAACAGCAAGTGGGATGACTTTCCATATTTGTAATTCTTTCTTCCTAAATTTTGTGCCAAGCTACCAATCAAACAAATCCACAACAGAGCCAGGGCAAACCCAAGAAAGACCCCACTAGTTAATGATAGAAGACTAAATTTTCCAGCTAAAGGGGCAAAGAAGCAAAACATGATCAGTGGTCTCCAAGTCAGATTTGCAGAAGATGCACTAAGTAGCATCCTCCCCTCTGAGCACTCCAATATGATGAAGGAACACAGTCGTTTTTACTCGATCTTTCCAAACTAGCCAAGAGAAGAATTGGACTTTTGGTGGTGAGATGTTATTCCAAATGAATTTGGGCATAAACAGATCAGGACCTCTGTTGGACTGCCACCATCAGAACAAATCCTTTGCTTTGAAGACACCCTGAGATGAAGCTTTCCAACTTATTCTATCCTCCATTTCATGCCTTAATGATGACCCATTTCTCAGTAAAACTTGCATATTATGAACTGATTCATCCTTCCAGGCTAATAGAGGTCTCCTAAAACTGAGATTCCTGGGCATAAACAGATCAGGACCTCTGTTGGACTGCCACCAGCAGAACAAATCCTTTGCTTTGAAGACACCCTGAGATGAAGCTTTCCAACTCATTCTATCCTCCATTTCATGCCTTAATGATGACCCATTTCTCAGTAAAACTTGCATATTATGAACTGATTCATCCTCCCAGGCTAATAGAGGTCTTCTAGAACTGAGATTCCAGTTAGAACAGCTAGATTTCCTGACAATGAAGGCTAACAGAGATCCAATTTTATCAAAAGAAAGACTAAAAAGCCTAGGAAATTTAGACTAAAGGCATTCATTCAGTCCCTACCCAGATATCCCTCCAGAAAGATATGCTGGCCCCATTACCTATTACTACTTCTGAATTAGTCAGAAAGAAATAGAATAAAGTAAGATTTTCTAAAGCAAGGCCCATAATGTCCTTCCAAATCGATGAGCAAATAGTAATTGTGCCTTGAGAATGGTACCAACTACCTGTTCTAGTACTATTCTTGTTGCAGATTAATCTTCTCCAAAGAGCTTGCTTTTCATTACAGAACCTCCACCACCATTTAGCAAGAAGACGAATATTGACTTAACCCAAACTTCTTACACCTAAACCTCCTTGCTTCTTTGTCAGTGAAACATCCTTCCAACTAATCAGGTAAACCTTTCTTTTGATATCTGAAAATTAGTCGCCAAAATTGTATTTTTAGCGACGAATATTTTAGTCGCCGTTGATTGAGATTTGGCGAATAAAAAAATTTGTCGGCGAAAGTACCTTTTCTGCGACTAATCTGGTCATTTGGTCGTGAAAAGTTTGAGAGGGAAATTTGAAACATGGAGGGGGAAATGAAAATTTTTTGCGACAAAAAAAATTTGGTCGCCATTTATAAAACAACGTCGTTTTGTACCCACTCCCCCTAAAAATTTGGTCGCCATTTCTAAGTGTTGCCATTTATGAACCCTAAACCGCTGCCCCCTTCCAACTCTCTCTCTCTTTCTCTCTCTCTCTGTCTCTAATGGAGAATGGGGACGAGTGGTTGGTCCCCGAATAAGCTACAACACATTCTCTTCTGCTTCTCCATCACCATTATTTTCTCTCTCCTCGCTTCCCTAACTCGCTATTCTTTCCTCTGCCGCCGGACCATCTGGTTCGGATCCATCATCTCCCTCTCCGCCGGTGCTGCCAAAGAGGTCGCCGACGAGCTTGGCTTCTTCAAGTCGGCCGGAGCCTCCTCCAAAGACACTGTTGCTGATCTCCTTGGCATTCTTCTCGCTGTGCTCATTCTTTCTCTCACGAAATCACTCTCCCTGCGGATCAAACCCGATCAATCGGGTCAAATTTGAGGGGTCGAGATAGTTTGATCGATGGCTTGGGTTCCAGTTTGTGTGATCGAGCATTTTGGAGTGATCAGGTTAGTCTGTATACAGTTGTCTGTTTGGTTTATGAGAAGATGATATACAAACAGAATTTTCTTACAAAAGTGAAGATTTGAAACTTGAAATAGGATCTATTGAATTTAAATACATCATAGGAACAACTCATTACCTATATCAGTTTGTTTTTAAATTTGTTTGTTCAGCATTACTCCCAAAAAAAAAAATGAACCTTGGAATTGCTATTGGATTCAAAATTTTCATTTTCAAGCTAATTTCAAGAAAAAAAAAATGAATGGCTATTGGAATGAATTAGCCATTAATTTTCAATAGCAATTTCAGTAGAAGAAATGAAATGCTTATTCGGTTTTGTAAGTGTAGATTCAAATGTACAGTTGTTGCATTTTCTTACTGGTGACGAATTTTTTGGCGCATTGATCAAGGTTAGTGCCTTGGTGGATTGAACAGGATGCATTTCTTCGGTCCCCTGGTTTCTTCTTCTTCTTCTTTCTTTTTTGGTTGATTCTCCTCTCTCCTCTCTCATCTCTCTTTGAATTTGATTTTCATTAAGGTGTTAGGAACTCTCGCAAAATATATGCACTGGCTCAGCTGTTCCTTTTTTTCGTGACTGGTCAATAATTAATCAATTCTGTGATATGAATTGATTTGTGCAGTGATATAATAACGTCGTTCTGTGATATGAATTGATTTGTGCAGTGATGGTTGTTCAATAATTAATCAACTCTTGCAAAATACTAGTTTCCATTTCACTACTCTCTGATCCATATCATAACATTGTTCTGTGATATGAATTGATTTGTGCAGTGATGGTTGGTGGATCAATACCTTATCGTGTGCTCAATGTGGCCAAAAGGGCTCATCTTCAGTATGATATTATATTTATGTATTATCTTCGATTTTATTCGCAACCATACATTATACATTACATACACACACAAGCACAGTTCAATGTATACTTGGATTGGGATGTTTTTTGTTTTACAATGTTGAGCAATCAATAAACAATTAGGGCATTTAGGAGGATTGATGGATTTTTTATTACTCAGAAATTAACTTGTGGAGACCCTTTTTCTTACCTCCCTTGATATTTGAGAAAAATATAGTTAGCGTAATTGCACTCAACCTCCCTTTTGGTACAGTTGAGCATGCTATTTTTGTACATCTGTTTAATTTGGATTACCTATCATTCATTAGTTATTTTCATTTTGGTAATGGTTTTGTAACTCTCTTCCAGGTAAATCAACCCTTTAGTCTTACTAGACTTCTGTCACTCCAAGTTTTCAAAATTTGTAAAGTCTTACGTCTCATGAACGATTAAAGTGGAAGCTGAAAGTTTTATTCAATAAGTGATTATTAAATTTATAAAATTGATGATCCTTGGGGCAACAGAAACACCATTATTAACTTTCATGTTTTCAACCTCTGTGCTAATTTTTTTTTTGTGACTGGTAATGTTGTCACAAAAGGGTAGTGATGAGGTTGCAAACACTCTTATACTGCCAGCTTTCTTCTAGTATTTGAGGTCCTTTTTCCTGTTTGGTATGCAAGTGATTTATGCTTTTTATTTTCCCCAGTTGCCAAGATCACATTGCCCTGAATTCAAATTTGATGAATAAAGAGCTAAAAGTGAGCTACATTGCCCTGAATTACAACAGCCCAACAGTCAGACCAAACACAATGCCTCGAATTAAAGCTCACTTTTAGCTCTTTATTCATCAAATTTGAATTTGATGGATGAAAGAATTGGTGAAGGTCTGGTGACTGATTAATTAGAGGGCAGATGGTATGGATGTCATGGTATTGACTCTTCAATGTTTTCTGTTCTCCAAATGTGGTTTTTGCAAATATATTATTTTTGGGATCTGTCTCTTAATCTTGCAGCAGAGACCATGGGAACACAACATCACTTGGAGGATAGTGGGATATGAGGCTTTGACTACACTATATTCCCATACTTCCGACAGCTTTAAGTTTCCAGTGTGTTAGAGTGCTTATCATGTTGGAGGCTTGCAGCAATCAAATTTATGCACATAAACACAGTTAATCACGTAGTTCAAAAACAAAAATGTACACCAATTTGTAGTGTAGTAAGAAATGACTAGTAATCAAACACAAGTATTTTTTCTTGGCCAAATTACTATGTTGGGTGGAGAACTATGAACAGATGAGACCAAAGTAACATAAACCTACAACGCTTGAGCTCTTGAAGCCCTTGTTCCAGATTGGTCAACACCATCTTGCACTCTTCTTGGCCTGCAATTAATGGTGGTATGGATTAATAACTTAATTCCTGTCATGTACAGTTAAATAATGTACTTTTGGATGCGGACTTTATTGCTTTTCTTCTGCATGTATCAACATATATTTTTTAGCGCATATGCTCTACCAAAATTTTAGTGAACTTGAATGTTTGCAATGTAAGCTTGTTGCAGGGTTAAATAATGGTTTTTAATAAATTTAAAAATCCGAAGAGTTTAAATTAGTGGGAAACAACTTGTCAAGCTGCAGGATGATATACATTTTTAATACTAAATGCCTGCTTTAGCCACCAATTAGGCAGGCAACTCATAGTTGATATAGCAGATGAATATGCATTTGTTGGTCCTTTTGCTGATTAAATTGAGCAGTAGAAATATATATGAAAAGACTCCATTTTTTATCAAACAGTTTATTTGGGTTTGTCTTGAGATTGGGTGGGTCTCTTAGTGCTTTTGTCTTCCAAATCTGTAAACCAGTTATTGTTGTTTATTCTATAACTCTTTTTATTTTCTAATTTTTTTTTTATCAATTTGCCCCCCCTCATCTTTTCCTGGGGATAAGTTGGTTAGCCTGTGCACCTATGATTATTGTTAAAACCTTTTTCATTCTTGTCTGGTTGATTCTGCCATCATCCTTCTTCCAGCCTGCATCAGCCTTGTTGACATCAATGTTGAGGAAACTCTGAACACTCAAATATGCTAATCGTGCTCGAAACATTCAGAATAAGCCTGTTGTAAGTAACCTTGATGATTATATGTTATTATTATTTTCTTTTTGTTAAATATTTCCACTTCACTATTTGGAGATGGATAGATTCTATTGGCATCAAGTTCTGTATCTTTTGATTTCTGAGGGAGCACATCATCTTGTTGTACAGTTAACAGAGATGTTATGTCGAATGAGATGCAAAATATGCGGCAGCAGCTAGAGTACTTGCAGGCTGAACTTAATAACGAGAACTACATGAATACCACAGCAGACGTGCTGTTGTAGAGCCGAGAGAAACAGATGCTGAAGTACGCTAATATAATTCCTTCTTTATCTTCGAAAAAGAAAAATAAAAGAATTATATATATATATATTGCAATTTTAACTTTCCTCTTTATTGCCACTAAATTGTGGTCAACAGACCATATTTATTGAGGTTTTGGTCATTACAATAGTTTGATTGATAGTTATTTTTTTTGGTCGGCGCTTGATTGATAGTTATGTGACATTTTCTATCTCAGGATGGCTCCTGTTTTGTTAAAAGAGATGGGCTAAAGAGGGGCTTACAGAGCATGGATGCATCTGGTTATCCCATGGGTGAAGCCATGACAGGTAAGCTACTTACTTGTGAGATTATTTCAGATGAATGAGGCTGAAAGCAGAGAGGAATAAGCTTCAAGATGCCATACCCTTAGTTAATGCATGACAGACTTTGATTTTTCTGTCATTTAGTTGGCATGTTATCAGTTTTTATATTACAAGTATGTGTAAGAGATGTGTGTTTAGTCTCTAAAACATGCGACTCATATTGCACTTTTCTAGTTCAGTTCTTTATGTTTCAAATGAATTTGCCAAAAATTGCAGGTGAAAATTACATGGAAATTGATGAAGCTGTAGCAAAAGAGTGGGAGCATGCACTCCTGCGAACAACGATGGGCAAAGAGTTTAATGAGTTAAACAAGCGTTTGGAGCAGAAAGAGGTTTCACTGATGGGCTTTGTTTTATGCAGTTTTCTGCCATACATTTGTTATGATATAGGCTCAACCCTTAACGGAGAACATGTGTTAAACATCTAATATGCCTTTTTTTTCTAATCTCCCGCATAAAAACTGGTTGTTGGGTCACACATCTTGAATATTCAATTTTTTCTCTATGAAAGTTGATACACCCAAAGCTAGTGTTTTAGTCTGTTATTTATGACATAGGCTTAAAGGAGAATACAACTAATGTACCTCTTTTTTGAGCAAAACTGCTGTTTTCGACCCTTACAATTTTACCCAAACTACAAGGGTGGATATGCCCAGAGCTAATGTTCTAATTTGTAATGTAAATAATTCTGCTAGATTTTTTTTTTTTTTTTGGTTTAGGAAGCCTATTCCCCATTTTTGTCACTATTCCTTCCAAGAGATACAGCCGAGATGAAACTACAGGCTTGGGATTCTGATTTCTACAAAGTGTCTTGCTTTGCATCCTTAAAAATATATTCTTACTTTTTTAAAAGCTGCTGTTGCCTTATTTTCAAAGAATATATTGATAATAGTGGCCATTTAGTGTCATTCTTATGTCTACACACATTGATACATGTTCACATGACGCTTGTATAGGGCTGTCCACACACATTGATATCCATTAGGAGCTCAGCACTTGTCAGGGGGAAAGTATGAAGAGTGCTTCTAGTGGTTTGTTTCACACGATACATGCATGGGGCTGTCCACTCACATTCATATCCATTAGGATCTCAGCACTGTGTCAGGGAGAAAATATGAAAGAGTGCTTCTAATGGTTTGTTGAAAGACAGAACTGATTATGATTATCATACATAATTAACATCTGTGAACATGATAAATGTTTTTGTAAATTCAGGATCATCTTTCTAACACGCGTTTCACATGGGATTCAATATTAAAGAGATTGATGTTAGAGGCTACATGATATCTTCATCACTGCCACTGCCTGTTTATGCATTCAAGATTCAATGTTTATATCTTTAGCAGTATTTTTTATTTCTCTCTTGGGATAGAGCTCCTCCACTTCTTTATATATATATGTATATATATATTTTTATTTTATCCTTTTAATGTTTCATTTTATAAAAATAATGAAGGGAAACATGTTTTGTGGGTTACATGAATCCAAGGAACACTAATCAATGATCTTCAACAATGAAAATCTAACGACCAACAAAAAAGAGAAACTCCACAACGCCAACTTAAATGTAGCAACATAATTACTAGAATTAGTACCACTGGAATCTAAAGTATTTTTTTGCCTGCTCCTTTGATCTGCCACTGTAATTTTTACTGAACAATTTTTGTGAAATTTATTTGATTCCTTGGAAATTTTTTATATTTGACAATTGGTGAATGTTTGGAAATAGATTTTATTTTGTATTCCATTCTTGCAATTTACACTGTTTTTCTTAAAATTGTTTCTGTGATTTATGTGTAGTAAAAAATGAAACATTTTGGAGGGTCTGACATTGAAGCACTTAGTCAGCACTTTGAGAAGAGAATCTTGAAACTCGCAGAAGAGAAGAAAACAATCCAGGTTATATGGAAAAATTTTAAAATTTTTCCATATAACCTGGACTGTTTTCTTCTCTTCCTCGAGTTTCAAGATTCTCTTCTCAAAGTGCTGACTAAGTGCTTCAGTGTCAGACCCTCCAAAATGTTTCATTTCT